GCTATAGTGCACCCGGGGGTCCTCAGTACTGTTTTATAACTTGACAGTGAAAGCTGTGATTAAGATGACTCTCACAGGGTTCAAACCTGCCCTCTCTTGACATTCATTCCCCGGGGGGAAGGCCGCTAATTGAGGCTTCATGATAGCGTAGTTAATCACTACGTCACCAGGCCTGAATCTCTCTATATTTTATTATCTTTTTCTAATAAATCTGTTCTCTGTTATTCTGACTCTTGCAGAGCTGATTAGTAATTTACTCTCTGTAAGTCTGTGACTCTCACAGTGATCTATAAATAATGAATAAGAGTCATCAGTTTCTTCAGAATTAAGAACTTAGTATCTTACTTAATAAGCTTATTCTATATATTTTTATTCAGTCTCTTTATAAATATTATTATTCAGGTCTTATTTCAGAGCTCTGTTTTCACAGATTTCAATTCATATTATAATTTTATAAAATACTGTGAGTAGTCTTTATCAGATTTCTTATCTCTTTTTCTAATATTAGTAATTACAGTTCAGATGTTCTCTATTCAACTTATAAAGTCTCTTAACTTATTCTCTAAATAGCTTTTAAGAACAGATCAGTGAGATCTCTTATAATTATTCTCTAGATAATTTAGTCAGTTCTTGACTTCAGTGTAGTAGAGATCTGTTATTACATAGATAATAGCTTCTTCATCTTTTATATTACACAGTCAGACTTGTAAGTCAATTGCAAATACAAACTTATAAAAGCTTTTATAGATTGTGATTCAATAGTTAGTCTTAAGTGATTACAGCTTAAGAAAGTTTCTTTTCAGTTCACAGATATCTCTAGACTGACTGTCAGAATCATGAATTTCATGTTTAATTTCATTTGATCTGATTTCATACATTTCTTGATGTGAATCCCGCTGGAACTAATCATTAAATAAACATGCAAAGTGACTATATATCAGATCTCAAAATGAAATCATGACTTGAAAAAAATGAGAAAGTGATCTCATTTAGTTTCATTTAGTCTCATTCTTAGTATAAAGTTACTATTTTTAGATTTTTTAAGATTTTTTTTAGACTATTTTTAATTTTTAAAAAAGTAACACTTTTTGATAACACTTAAATGATATTTAAAGTCATTTAAAGCAATAAAAATAATTTAAATTGAGAAGTGAAAATCATGATCTCATTTGAAAAATTTAATAAGAGTAGACAGTAAGTCTCACTGAGACAGTATGAAAGTACTATTTAATGTTAGAACTGTGTAATAAGATCTGTCAAATTGATAATGAGACTATTAAAAATTCTGATTCTGGTCTCAGACACAGTTAGACTGGCCGTCCGGATCATGAATTTCACATTTGATTTCATTTAATCTGATTTCATACGTTTCTTGGCATGAATCCCGCTGGGACTGGCTATCAAAAAAACATGTAAAGTGACTATATATTAGATCTTAAAATGAAATCATGACTTGAAAAAAATGAGAAAGTGATCTCATTTGATCTCATTTAGTCTCATTCTTGGCATAAAGTTACTATTTTTAGACATTTTAAGGTTTCTTTTAGACTATTTTTAATTTTTTAAAAAGTAATGCTTTTTGATAACACTCAAATGAGATTTAAAGTCATTTAAAGTAATAAAAATAATTTAAATTGAGAAGTGGAAATCATGATCTCATTTGAAAAATGTGACAAGAGTAGACAGTAAGTTTCACTGAGATAGTATGAGACTACTATCTAATGTTAAAACTGTGTAATGGAATCAGTTGAATTGATAATGAAACTATCAAAAAATCTGGTTCTGGTCTCAGACACCATCACACGGTCAGTCTAAACACAGTTATACAGTTAGTCTAGATGTCTCTGAACATTATGTCTAGAAACTCAGTTCAAGAATGTTTACAGATAGTAAGTATTTCTTATAGAAAAATTGCTTAATTCTGTAAGAGATGCTCAAGAATGTTCTTCACTGAGATTGATTTATTCATGAATTTGAAGAGTTTCTCTGTTACAGATACAGAGAATGATATCTTATAAGTAATTAATAAGTTCTCTGAAACTTCTTTATAAGAGTTATTTATAATTTAAGTAACTGCTTCTGAATATCTGTAGTAGAGTTCACAGGAATTAAAGTATATAAGTTTCTAGTTCTTTCAATTATAATAAGTGATTACTGACTGACTGAGCTTGAAATGTAAGAATAAGTGCTTACAGATAATTATTCAGATATTTACAGCTTGACATAATATATACTATTAACTACTAGAAGTATTCACAGTACAAAGATAAAATATAGAGATTAAATATATAATAGTATTCAAGCTGAGTTATAAATATTATTCACAAACTTCAGTCTATATAGTTATATATAGTTAAGGGCCACTAACTCTATTGATTACGTGAGAGATAGAAATAGAGGTAAAGAATCCGCGAGCAGCGGGATTTCTTACAATGATTGATGAAAGACTGAAGAGAGATCTGCAGAACTGAGAGATGAATTAATTATTAAAGATAATAACTGCAGCTGTTTTCTTAATTAAGTTAAAAATAAAGTTAATGAGAGATATTCTCTATAATATCTGATAACATAGTAAGATCTTTGAATAACAGTTTTCTTTTTACAGACTGCTGTCAATGAAGATATATCAGAACTATGAATCTCACAGTGATAAAACTGAATCTCAGATAACATATCTGTTTCAATAGACTATTTATAGATCTGAGAGACTGCTGTTAATTATATAAGGTATTAATATATCTGAGATAGTAAGAGAAGTTCAGACTCATTTATCATATAATCTGTGACTATAGAAGAATCTGATTTCACTGTATATATCTGTTTACAATTCTACAGTGTAAAGAGATAATCAGTAATAGAAAAGATGTAATGAGAGAAGATTATAATATCTGAGTTCACTGAGTGCAGTATTAAAGACAAATAGCGGTAGAAGTAGTAAAACACTGTAAAGAAATAAATTAATCAAGAGACTGATTTCACAAGCAGTAAATGCAGACTTTTAATATGTTATTATTATTATTATTATTCTTCCATTATACTCATATGCAAGCGGAGCTTATGATGAGTCCTTACGTGATGTTAAATACAGGCCAAGTGTTGGTTATACAGGAGGAAATACAGGTGTTGAGACCACGCCAAGATAACAAGAACATAGGAAATACAAAGAAGTGACAATTAAATACATGTGATAATAACTTCCCAGCCCAGGAACATAGAGCAATTTTATTGAAGTGATTTGTACACCTCTGTATTTATTAGAAACCTGAGGTGCTTGAGTTCCGGATTTAATGTATCCCCTGCGGGTTTTGAACCCACATGCCCTGGTTTCCCACGCCAAGGCGCTACCGGGTGGCCGCATTAATCATTCGGCCACCGGGGCACTTTTAATATGTTATTCATTCTTGAGAATCTATAAGAGATGATTAATCAGATGTGTTATCTATTCAAGAATCTGTATAGAGTAGATTATTAATTAGATATATTATCTATTCAAGAATCTATACAGAGCAGATAGTTAATAAAATATATAATTTATTATTCAAGAATCTGTATAAAGTAGATAATTAATAAGATAAAAGATGAATATATTATAACATACAGAGATACAGAATCTTGTTATAGTATAATATTATAGAATTATACTTCACTTAATTCTACATTAATCAGTGAGCTGTATTCATGTCAAGAATCTTAAAAAGAAAATTCTTCACTTTTAATAACTAGAGTTTTCATCATATATTTACTTTACTTTACTCTGTAAATAAATATTTACTTTAATCACTGATTTCTACACTTTCTCTTTCTTTTTCTTTTCTAACATTTTTCACTTTGTTATATAAGATCTATAAATATTATACTGATCTATTCAGTGTAGGCCTCTTACAATTCAGAATTGATTATAGAATTGATTTTGAATTGATTGTAGAATTAATAATAAATAATTAAGTAGTTTCAAATTACAAGAAAAGATGTATTGAGCGAGGTCAGGTAGTGACACGGGTCACATTTACGAGGTCAGCTTACATAATGAGGTCAAGTGGCGTACTTAGTGAGGTCAAGTTTTCTACTTTCTGTAAAAACGTTAAGATTTATACTGTTAAAGCTACTACACAAGCTCTAACTCACATGACTCACACACATTCTTACCGGAAAAACGTAGGCTTACTATATGACTGGGTTATGGTTGTTCCGCCGTGCCAGTCGCTGACACCGTCGCCGAACTGTAAAATATAATATAATAGTGAATTAGCTGTGAAATCACTGTAAATGAGTTATGAACAGAATAAAATCATCATTATATTAACAATATCACTGATTTCTATCTATGTAATCACTAATTCTAAAAAATGTCTCATTCACTGAAATTGTTCTCTATTGAAAATCTGCTATGTTTCTCTGTAATTTCTCTCAGGTTCTTCAAATTATCTCTATATCATTGTCATTATTTTCTGTCATATTCACATCAACATTTATTTCAGAGAACTTGTGAATTGATGTTGAAGTTTGTGAAGAGTCAGTATCAATAACTATTCACTATTTGAGAGAGAGAGTTTTAGAGAAATCAGAAGCTGTGTATTTACTCATCTATATATATTATTGTTAACTTCTGCATAAATCTGGGAATTATTTCATTAATTCTAACTTACTTTTTCACTGAGAATGTTGAGAGTTTCAGTGCTGCTCATAGCCAGAGAATCAACTGAAGTCAGAAGATTGAAGAAGAAAGAAAGAAGAGAATTAACAGTAATAGTAGAGATGTCAGTGAGAAGAGTAGAAAGAGAATTATCACTGTTATCAAATTTCTCATCACTGCTGCTGCTGTCACTGACTGCAACTGAATTCTTATCAAGATAATCTGCAAATCTCTAAACATACTTCATTATTTTATACATCTCAATGATAATACAGCTAGTTTTGATATTAATATTATTTATCAAATTTATAAGATTCTTCATCACTGATTTTTATTCTTTAATATGACTGACTATCATTCTCAAAAGCTAATAATACACTTCAAGCTTGATAGTTTCAATATCAAGTTTTATCTTTTTAATCATGATTTTCTTCTTTTCTGCAGTAACTTTTTTCTTTTTAATTTCTAATTTCACTCTTTCAATATTTAACTTGATCTTCTCAATCTCAATTTTAGCTTTTTCAGCAGCACTGATAATGACATTCAGAGCTTTCAGAGCAATAGTGATACTCTTCATATATTAAGCTTTCACTTTCTATTAGTGAGTTTTGACTTTCTTAATCTATTTCAAAAGATTCTTTGCTAATTTCAATATAGCTCTCTTTATTATTTTCTTAAAATCATTCAATACAGACAGATAAAAGTCATGAATTCAGATCAGATTGTTAACTTATTCTTTTAATTCTTTAGAGACAATCACACATCTCTTTTTCTCATGATTACAATTTATACAAGACTTTGAGCTTCTCTTCATCTTATTATAAGCAGCATTCAAATGATGAGAAAAAATATACTTAATACAGTACTCACACATTGTTCATTTACTGAGCTGCTTTATCAGAGTATTCAGACAGCTGTTTACTTCCTTCTCTTGAGTCTTTGCAGTGATGATATAAGTATACTTGAGAGTGTTACTTATCATTTTAGTGCTGCTGCTGTTATTGTTATTACTGTGATTGATACTGATATGATGAATTACTGATATTCTTAATATACTACACAGATAAGATATCTTAATTAGAACTTTTCTAATTAAAAGCTTTTTATTATAACTGACAGAATACTAATCAGACTGAGAGATAAAGAAGAGTAGAGTGAGCTGAGTGAGCTAAGAATGATCTTTACAGTGTATTATTATTGTAAGAAGAAGAAAGAAGAAAAGAAGGAAAAGAAAAATATAAGTCTTTATATATATTATTAATTCATCTTTGTAGATTATCATATAATGAATGTAAATACTTTCATATTTTATCTCTGAGTGTAATCAGCACATCTGATGAATTTCATTCATATCTTAATACTTTTTGCACAGACTATCACTGATTGAATTACAGCTATTTTGAATATAAAATTATTTCTATTAACTAGAAACAAGTGTTTAATACACTGTCAGAAATATATCTACAGAATTCAAGATGAATAAGAAGATTTTCTGATACAGTGAAATCAGTGATTCTGCTGCAGCTATAACTATAATTAAATACAAGATAGATGATATAACAACTTTTATCAGTGAATATCAAGACAGATGTATTCTAATGATATATGATAAAGTATATATCAACTAATTTATATATAAAATGCATAGAAAACTAAATATATTGAAATAGAAATAGATTATATCAGAAATCTCTACATTATCTGTCTTTTACTGAAAGTATCTTTGAAAATTTAATCTTTTTTCACATCTTCTCTCATACATCTTTCACTGTATATCTCTTTTTAACTGTTAGACTATTCTGAATTGCCTCTGCAAAGTCATCTCTGATAATTTTCTGATATTTAAGAACATCACTTATCAGATCTTAAAATGTCAGAATATTTTATAATTATATTATAACTGCAGTGAAATTTTTATTCATATCAGTATTATTAAATATTTTGACCTGAGTTGTCAGATTGATATATATCTCTATTTTTGAAATCAGTTTCTAGTTTTTGAAACAATTTGAATTATGCTAACTTATGTTTTATATATCATTATTCTCACTCAGACAATCAGTCAAAGTTGATAACTTCTTATATTTAATAAAAAATCAGAAAGAACTTTTCAGCAGTGAATAACTTATGAGAGTAATTAAAGATAATTATTTCTTTATAATAATTATATAAGTCAATTATCTCTGAACTTATTCTACTCTTTGTCTTTTTCTGTTGAATATAATTCTATATTGAAATTGAGTTAGTTAACTTGACTATAAAAGTTTAGATTTCTCTAAGATTCTTCACTGAATTCTCATCAGAGATTTATAATCTCTTATCAAGAATTTGTTATATTCTGCTGAAAAGTTACTTTATTATTATTATTATTATTCTTTTATTATACTCATATGCAAGCGGAGCTTATGATGAGTCCTTGCGTGATGTTAAATACAGACCAAGTGTTGGTTATACAGGAGGAAATACAGGTGTTGAGACCACGTCAAGATAACAAGAACATAGGAAATACAAAGGAGTGACAATTAGATACATGCGATAATAACTTCCCAGCCCAGGAACATAGAGCGATTTATTGAAGCGATTTGTACACCTCTGTATTTATTAGAAACCTGAGGTGCTTGAGTTCCGGATTTAATGTATTCTCTGCGGGTTTCGAACCCACACATCTTGGTTTCCCACGCCAAGGCGCTACCGGGTGGCCGCATTAACCATTCGGCCACCGGGGCGCTGAAAAGTTACTATTTTACTAAATTTAAATACTTATCTTCATTTTCTTTAATAATCTTGATTTTCAGATCTTGACTGTGCTCAGCATTGTTATTCTGCTGAATGAGAATGTATATAATATTTTATTATTAGTTTTAATTATTTTTGCAACTGTCTGATCAAGATTTTTCTTTATAAAGAATAGAAAATACATTCATTTAATCTCTAGCTACAGACATTGCTTCATTGAGTAGATCTTCTTCTCATATATTTTAGTGTCAGAGTGTCTAGTTCTCTGATATCTTCTTGATAAATTACTGATCAGTGAGAAGTTTGAGTTCTTCTCACTGTTCTTCTTATCTATTAAGCATTCTTCATTGATATCATTATGTGCCTGCTATGATTAAGAAATATTAATATTGAATTTTCTTTGAAATCAGTGCATTATCTTATTAAATCTACTAGATGAGAAAGTTCAGAAAGATCTAGTATATCAGAGTCAATAAGAGTATTCATTTTTAAAATTAAATTGAAATTCTAGTCAATGAATGATACTGATTTCAGAAACTTGCAGAAATATAATCTTGAAATAAAGAAAACAGTTTAATTGTTAATATTAATATAATGTAGATTGTCACTGATTGCAGCTCTTATTAATATACTTCTTTTTAGTAATTCAATCTCATCTCTTTATTGCATCAAGATCACTTACTTACTTTAATCATATCTTTTCAACTATATAACTTGTTTTCACAAATTATATCAGAAAGTAAAATATTATGTCTGTTTAATTGAAATCTGAAACACTATCTGCTATCTATCTCTAGACAAGAATCTGAGAATGATCAATCAGAATTTCAATCTCAGAGCTCTCTTTTCTCAGAAACTGCAAATAAGGATTTTACTGATAGTGATTCAGATAATGATATTTCTGATAAAGAAGCATTGCTATTCTCAGTACATTTATCACTTTTAATGTCTTATTATTATAAAAACTAACATTGTCTAAAGACAGAGTCATATAATGAGAATGCTGCTGATAATATCAAGTATATAGAGTGACTTTTAAAAGCAGATACTGAGGAGAATATTCTGAAGAATATTCTTAAAAATATCTCAGAAAATAATAATTAAGAAGATTCTGATAAGTCAGTTACTGAAGATATTACTATAAAAGATACTGCTATCAAAGAAATTACTACTGCTTCTTATTCTACTAATAAATTTATTGATTCTGATTCAGCAATTGACATACCTTATAAATATAGTAACTTTGAAATGAATTCATTTATTTTGACAATGAGACTCTGAGCTGAAGAGTTGAGTATTTTCTGAAAAAACTACTAATCACTACTGCAAATTCTGTATTTATTAAAGAATACATCACTGATAAGTCTGCTTCTTAAAGATCTATCAACTCTGAAAAAGCAATGCAGAGCACAATTTTCAATTTTATCAGTTAAGAAAATGTCAATTTCAATAGTATTATTAATATAAATATCAACTCTGAGTTCTGCTCAGAAACATCTCACTGTATTCTTCATAAGATCACTCTACTTTTAAAATTCAATTTCATTAATATCTGCTCTTCTCAAATTCTCAAATTTTCAGTGATAGATATATATAGAAATGACAGAACTTATTAACAATCTTACTGAGTTATGACAATTTCACAGTTAAGAGAGCTCTGTTAAATATTATTTTAACAACTTTATATGATATTTATTAATAAATAAATCTCTTTTTTCTTTCAATTTTATTCAGTATCAGTGTGAGAATCTTGAATACTACTATAAATTAAGATTGAATGATATATCTTATATTAAGAGAGTGTGTTTTATCAGATATAATCACTGATATTCAGATATAGAAATAAGATCTCATATAATAGTTCTGAAAGTTCAAGAAGTCATTTGTCATACTTCTTAGATAGTATAAAGATTATCATTCTTGAATCTGTTATTTATTTCATTTGAATTAATTACAATGAAAGATAAGATGAAATATATCTCAATTACTCAGATTCTGAATGAACTTGATATTTATATGAATACAATATTTGAATTGAATTTCAATTTACTAATAAAATATGAAAATAAAGATTAGTATTTTCTTCATCAGATTATAAGAATCAAGACTGAAGCTGTTGAGATATAATCATATTATAAATCTTCACTAATTCAGACTGAGTTGAAAACTACTGTATATAAATAAGATATTTTGAAAAGCATATTTTACTCTGATATACAAGTTATTTTTCTATTATATCAATTGTTCATTGATGAATTTGATTTATATTAGAACATGTACTGAAGCTTAATAGATTTTTATATGATTTCTGCACTGAGTGCTGTTAAATACTTAAAGTAAAATAATATTTTTACTCTAATCTTTGATTCTTGTAATATTAATTTCTCTGACACTGTCACTGTATTATTGCATGACTTATCTACATTAAATTATAAGAAGATTATAATAAATATCAGTGAAGAAAAGATAAGAGTGATTGTATCTTATATAATATTTCTTAATAATATATCACAGTAAAATAGTAATATAAAGATTAAAGAATCAACTATAAGAAGATCTTACTGAAGCTGTTTTATTAATGATAAGAATTAGCTGAATTTAAACTATGATTTATATAATAACAGCTGATTTCATTATTATATACAGTATCTTTGAGCTAAACTAGATGATCTACTGAATTTCACACACAGAGATTAAATGTATCAAGAGCAGAGTATAACAGTGTAGACAGTATCTCTTTTTTAAATAAACTTAAGTTTGAATTTAATCTTATTTTTCTCTTCAGATTCATACTATAGTAAGTTTACTGAAATATCAGAGATTTTATACTTATTACTGATC